GATCTGCCATCTGTAGTCTGGGCGCCGAGCGCCAGATAGGATATCAACATTGGTTCTTCGTTGATGATGGTGATGAGACTATTCCAGCATTGTCAATTATGAGCTCTTGGTGTGTTCTTATTTGGTGAAACTCATGATGCAATTCTGCTTTTGGTCCGAGGTCAAGACTATCTGGTCTTATGTGTATGATGCTGTTTGATTTCTGAAGTTCGCTATCGCTCATCTTCCTTGCACATGGCAACATGCATAGATACACTGCTGTTGTTTTTTTTTGGGGTGGCCTCATGAGTGCAGGGTGTGAGGGCATACTCACACTACGAGTTTTGCTTTTTCTGGATGGATCCCGCCCAGCCCATGTCCTGCACAGTGCCATGACTCAACCTGCACAGTATCACCGTGGCCACACGCATAGTGCCGCCTTAACCGTGGCAAGGGCCAAATTGGCCATGTGTAATTTTTTTTATTTTTTTTCAGTGACCATATCTGCATTTGTTTCCTTGTTGGGGGGGGTGGATGTGAGTGTTGGTCTCTTCCTCGCCATGCCGAGGTCTGAGTTCTGCCTGAGTTTGCCCGTGTGTTTTTTTTTTGGGGTGGCCATGGTCAGGAGGATGAGCAGGTATTTCACACAGGCGTAGCTTGCAGAGTCTGCTTGTACTAAAGCAAAAAGTGGTCCTCGCGTGATGCTTTCCACGGGCCCACAAAAAATTGTGGTGGGAGGCAGTACCGGTGGGCCGTGTTGCAGCCGAGAATTGCCCGAAGTTTCCCGTTGCATATTTCGTTCGATTGTGGAGTAAAAGTCGTGCTGCAGGGAGGAAGGTCCAGAGTGTTTTTTAATATTGTGCCTGACTGCATCCGACCGGCAAGTTGTGCTGGATGGGGATGTCGGCATGGGAGGGACGGCGGTTCAGCATGGGAGGGGCTATGGGCCACAGCCACGAGGTGGGAATGGGAGAGCTGCGGTATTGCAGTTGAAGTGGCAGTGGGGAGAGGAAGGGTGGGGGCGAAGCGCAGGGGAGTCATGGCCGATGACCACTGCCAGCAGGGGCGGCGCACCTGCTGTAGAGGGCTGGCGATGATGGATGAGGAGGTGGGAGAATGGAGGGAGGAGGCCGACGGCGGTGGATTGAGGAGGGAGGATGAAGGGGCGATGAGGAAGGAGAACAGCGGCAATGGAGGAGGAGGCAGAGTGGAGGGAGGAATAGGAGGGAGGAGGACGGTCACAGTGGAGAGAGGGAGGAGGGAGTAGGAAGACGATATATGAAGGAGGATGTCATAAAGGAAAAAAAAGAAAAAAGACAATACATAGCACGCAAACAGTAAGCAAGTCACACGGTAAGCAAGTCAGTTGAAATCAATCAATAAAAATATCAATTAATCAGGGAGCGATGATGAATGGAAAATGAGCAACGATGTAGGGAGGAGCAGAAGGGAGGACATAAACGATGGAGGTTCCTTACCAACAGATCAGCGCAAGGTGGAGTGTGGACGCCAACGACGATGGAGGAAGGAGGATGGAGGAGGACAACGACTACGGATGGGGAAGGGGGGAGGGGGAATGGATGGAGTAGGAGGATGGAGTACAACGACTACTGATGGGGAAGGGGGAATGGACGGAGTAGGAGGAGGAGGGAGGATGGACGAAGAATGAGGAGGGAGTGTGGTCGAAACATGACGGATGGAGGATGGACGAAGTATGAGTAGGGAGGAAGGAGGGAGGAGGAGGGAGGAGATCGGCGATGATGGAGGGACGAGGACGGCACGACGATAATTGATGAACAAGGAGAGAGGATGCAGGGAGGAGGAGGGAGGATGGAGGAAGGAGGAAGGGAGTAGGAGGAGGGAGGGGCGGGGGGGGCGGGAATTGAGGGCGGACGACAATGGAGGAGGGAGGAGGACAATGACAATGGATGGAGGAAGCAGATGTGAGGATGAGGACGCGGGATGGAGGTCGGACGAGAAAGGAGGAGGACAATGACAATGGATGGAGGAAGGAGGAGTGAGGAGGATGCGGGATGGAGGTCGTACAGGAAAGGAGGAGGGAGGAGGACAATGACAATGGATGGAGTTGGGGCGGATGACAATGGAGGAGGGAGGAGGGCAATGACAATGGATGGAGGAAGGAGAAGTGAGGACGAGGATGCGGGATGGGAGCTGGACGAGAAAGGAGGCGGGAGGAGGACAATGACAATGGATGGAGGGAGGAGGAGTGAGGAGGAGGCGGTGGGATGGAGGTTGGACGGGACAGGAGGAGGGAGGAGGACAATGACAATGGATGGAGGAAGGAAGAGGAGGGAGGGAGAAAAATGGGGCGAGGAGGCCGGAGGGAGGAGGACAGCAACGATGGAGAGAGGGGCGGCTTCTCTCGCTCCGTCATGGTTCACGTCGTGAATCATCCCCATACCCCAGGAATATTTGATAGCTTTTATTAAAAAAATCTGGGACCTCTATGATAGCCCGAGCCAGATGTATCACCTGAAGTACTTCTAAATCACTTACAGCATATCAGTACAAAGTTCATATCTAAATGCCGTCACCCTGTGTTATGATAGAAGCTTTGTCTGCATAAAGTGTGTTGATCATCATGATCATTGATAATATCAATTGTCTAAAAACAAATAAAAAAAAACACATCAGTTGCCACGTTATCATCCTTGGATTATCATCCTTGGACTGTAACATCCTTCCTGTTCGCCTTGCCCGCTATGTCAGTCGTGACTTGCTATCCGAATTCATGTAGAATCGAAGTAGATATATAAATGAAATAATTCTGAATTGCCTGGGGCAGGTGAGTTCAACAGTTATAGACTATACGCCGTCGCCTTTTGTTGAAATAGAAACTTTGCCTGTTGATCATCATTGATGATATAGACCATCTGAAAAAGGGGAAAAAAGCAACCATAGAAACTTTGCCTGTTGATCATCATTGATGATATAGACCATCTGAAAAAGGAAAAAAAAGCAACCATGATAGGATGGTTATGATGGATGAGGATGGAGGTGGAGGAAAAAAGAAACCATGATAACATGATCATTGATGATATTGATCGCCTAAATGATAGGACGGTCATGATGGATGATGGTGGTGGTGGAGGGAGTAGCATGGAGACGACGGGCGAGGAGGGAGGAGGCAGGAGGAGGAGGGAGGGCGGCGATGATCAAAGGAGGGGGGAGGAGGGAAGACGACGACGATGGAGAATGGAGGCGGAGGAGGGAGGAACACAACTACAACGAATGGAGGAGGGGGGAGGATGGATGAGCATGGGGGATGGAGGCGAGGAGGGGGGAGGAGGGACGTAGACAATCACAACGAATGGAAGGGGGAGGATGGATGGAGGAGGGCGGAGGAGGGAGGAATGCAACTACAATGAATGGAGGAGGGGGGAGGATGGATGAGCATGGAGGATGAAGGCGAGGAGGGGGGAGGAGGGACGAAGACAATCACAACAAATGGAGGGGGGAGGATGGATGCAGGAGGGCGGAGGAGGGAGAAGGGTGCATGGGAGCCATGCTGATCTCCTCTGTATCTAACAATAGAACGCGACTACAATGAATGGAGAAGGGGGGAGGATGGATGAGGGTGGAGGATGAAGGCAAGGAGGGAAGAGGAGGGACGGACACAACTACAACGAATGAAGGAAGGGGGAGTATGGACGCAGGAGTATGGAGGGGCCATGCTGATCTCCTCTGTATTGTTCCAATTTTAATGGTTGTCCAGAAGGACAAAATCTCGGAAGCATGGTTCAGGCATTCTGCGGACTTCTGAGGATTCAGCATCCTGACGAGTGCTCAGATCCCAACGAAATCATTGCCTGTTTGAAGTCGTTTCCATCCTTCCTTTCCGTCCAAGAGAGCCAAATGAAAGCGTTGCCCATTTCTGCCCTCCAGGTTGGGTGGCAAGAGTTCGACAGTTGGTGTGTGTGGTCTGCAGGATATCCTCATCACGTGTATCCAAAGCATGTTCCGTCAATCGCTCGTTGTTTTTTTTCCTGGGCAGTGAGGATCGAACTCACGATCTTCAGCTCAATCACTCATAATTGCTGGCTATGAGTTATTGCGATGTTCCTATGTTTAAGCCTTTAAGGAGATCGAGCTTGGCCTCTCGGTTTATGATGGGATGTCTATATATTGCGGCTGAGTTACATACACAATCCCAACACGCACACATATGTCCACTTCGGTAAGTTTGTTCAACGGAATGGAGTGAGAGGAGGGAGTGGGGCGATGACAAACGATGGAGGAGGAGGAGGAGGAGGAGGATGGAAAATGGAGAGAGAGAGAGAGACGGAGAGAGAGAGAGAGAGAGAGAGAGAGAGAGAACTTCTCTGCACTGTTCACTGGAACAACCATCTGGCCGCACTGCACCCAGCCCTGCGTGCGACATGCCCTCTGGGCCATGGACGTAGCCGCAGCGGGTCCACTTGTTCTCATAAATAATCTCTTTAGAAGGTAAGATTCAACCCTCTCACCAACACCTCCTTCCTGTCCCTCAAATTGATTCCTACTCATGCATTTCAAAAAAATTCCATGTGTCAGAGATCAGGTTTGGATGTCTGAAGTGCTCAAGGGCTTGGGGGTCTGAACAACCCAGAGCTAGAGTTCAGAGATCATAAACAGGCAGAGCAACCCAGAGCTGGGAGGTCATAAGCAGGCAAAAGAGCTCAGGCATTTTGCCCACTATCTACTTGTTTTTACTAGACAGTCTGAGCGAAGAGAAACGGACGTGCGGTGTATGTCTTGCCAAACTTGAAAGGCGGGCTAAAACACGAGGAAATTTTGGGAGCTTTGGGTGTGACCCTGACTGAGCTGACTCTGAGTCAAAGGAGCGTCTTCAGTCCTGTCTGTGTAACTCTGTCGACGAATTGAGATATGCTGGCTGCAGCCAGAATGAGCTTGGTGTGTAACCGTGGTTTGGGTGGTTGGTTGGTTGGGGTGGGTGTCCAGGCATTTCCAGAAGCAGCTGCAGTGTTGAGGTCAAGGCAATTGCGGCCTGAAGAGATGATACGTGCATTTGAAAGTTTCGGCGAGAAAGTGAAGGTTTGTGCAGCAGAGGCAATGGATGTGGAGGCCATGATGGGTGATATTCCGGACGAGTTCTTGGATCCCATACAGGTAAAATGCCATCAATTGCGGTCTGACAGGTCTTCGCGCACAGCCCCCTTTCGCAGTCCTCCACCACTACTCTTCTGCTTGTATGATGATGGCTGATACAGGTTGGTCTGTGGCTGAACAAAGGCTTCATTCAGGCTGGAATGTTGTAATACTGATCAAGTAGATTATTCCAATTGAATTTGTGGTGCTGAATTTTTGTGTGCCATCCTTGTGCAAGACCTATGCCTCATGTCTCTTTTATATCAACAAGCATGCCATTCCTATTTAGCTGACTTGTGGAAGCATGGATTGAAATGGAGCTGCCTAACTTTTGTCAGAACTGCGTGCAGACTCAGAGTTTACTCACTGTGGACAAGTCACCATTTTTTTAAATCTTTGACTGTTTTGGGTGGGGGGTTGACGTAGCGTTGAAAAACAGAACCCCACCAGGGGAACTGTTAAGTGGTTCAAGGCAGAATAGTTCTGTAGGTTAGAACAGCGGAATCATAATTCAATTGTGGGGAGCTCGAGTCCCTCTTCTGCCAGTTGTCTATCTAACTCTGTGTTCCGTTTCAACTTTCAACTATATTTCTTTGCTACGCTACGCTCGAGTTTTCCAATCCGATTATGAGAGGAATGAAAGGTGGTTCGATATATGATATGCTACAGGAAGCATTTCACTTGAATTCTCCAATCCGATTACAGGATGAATGAAAGGTTGTCTGATTTGATATGCTAATTGGAAGCATTAGGAACATTAATTACGGAAAAAGGGGATTCGAGCCCTTAACCTATGGTTTTGGATCCCATTGGTGCACGGTTCCCAACATGGGAACTGTTCTCTTCACAAAGCAATGTGTGATTGGTTTATGCCGTTTGCAGTTGTTTGTGTGCATTTGGTCATTAGTTTGCCACTTTCTGTGCTCGTTTAAGTTACTTGCCCTTTCTCAAGTTTCTTTCTTATTTACGTCGCCACCCAGCCTATCCGGAAAACCTGTAGGCTTATGATATGTGGTTTTGAGGGCAGCCATGAGGCAAAGTGTGTCCAAATGCTGCTTTTTTTCTTTTTTTGGGACCGTCTCTGGATGTATGCATGTCATCCTTGTGCAGGGCCATGCTAATCCTCTCTTTTAACAGATGCAAGGCATAAGGCCCTTCGCCTGGTTGAATTTGGGGCCTGTGCCGGCTGGAAAGGGGTTGCGCACAGGGTTGGTTGTGCTTGTGGGTTGGTTGCTGCTAGCAGCATCTGCAACCGACCGATAGGCCTGATCGGTTGTAGATGCTGGGGCCCGGAGAAAGGCTGAGGCCCTGGACCCTTACAGTTGAGCCCAGGCACATTCCTTAAGGGCCCAGGGGCACAGCTACTGGGACAGGCCGTGCAGCCCTGAAGTTGCCACGCCCAGCCAGTATCTGCACAAAAGGAAGTGCAGCCAGGCACTTCCTTATTCTTGCCCTTGCTGGCTGGTGTGAGCACTGCTGGATCGCATGCTCAAGCGCACGCGCGCTGGATGGAGGCCAGGGGTGAGAGGTGAAAGCGCTGGTGGGGCGCGACATAGCTGCTGGGTGCAGCCGAGCCAAGCAGCGGCCATAGCCGGGCTGCTGCCTGTAAGGCCAGAAGGGGGTAGAGCGGAGGCCCTGGGAGAAAGCGCTGTGGACAGAGAGTGGAAGAGGGCCATGGTGGAAGAGAGTGCATACCTGGGTGATGACGAGCGGGTCAGTCCAGCAGAAGTCCTCATTCATCATCTGGCAGATGTACTTCACGAAGACCTGCTGATGTCATTAACTGATAGGCTAGTATAGGTGCTGTGTGATAGTGATCTAGGCGCCAAGCGCCATGTAAAAGAGCAACATTGGGAACGTTGATGGTGAAGGCGAGACGAGGGCTTACATTATCAATTAAGTTCTTTGCTTTGCTCTTGTTTGGTGTATATCTTGGGGCATTCTGCTTTCTGTTCAAGCACATGACTTCCCGGCTTTCAATGGGATAACGCAATTTGGTCTCTGTACTTTGCATTGCTCATTTTCCTTGCACAGATGTCCCAAAGGACTGTTTCCAAATGCTTCAATCTCTGCACCTCGCTTTTTAAGTGGGGATCAGAGAAAACATATCTGTTTCCAGCACAGTGGTGTTATTGATGTGAGTCTGAAGTTGATGAAACGTTTTTGTGATGAGCTGATGAGCTGAGTCTGTATGGTTTTTCAAATTTTCACACTTTGTGGTTTTGGACAGTTCACGCTGATGAATGATCCTGTTGTATTGCCGTCATCAAAGACCACGATTGACCGGGCTGTCATCCAAAGACACCTCCTGAGTGATCAGGTAAGAGTTCGTCTCCTTCTCTTCTTCTGCTTTTATACGCATCCATTAGTTGATAGGTGTTCCTCGTTAGCTCTAGTTTCCCAGTGCAAGATATTTGTCATCACGCCTATATCTTCTATTGTTTTGTGCATGAGTGAATAGTTGTTCTTGTGCTGTATGAACTGCTTTTTCCTTACAAACCACTACTGCCGTGCTTCCAGTTTCCACCTGAAGACAAAATTCCGATTGAATTAAAGCGGCCGCTAGGAAAAAAAACACGCTCAACATTCTCCGTGCAATGTGGTAACCCCCTGGTTCAGTTTAGAGCTTTACAGCTGCCCAGATAGACAGAAATACGTCGACCACTGGCATGTGATGCACATCACAACAGTGGAATAACAACTCACTGTTCATAGCGCTGTAGTTCAACAGCAGGCTCTATGGGCCTCACGCCACTGCCTTTACAACTTGGTAATTGAAATGAGACCACCATGCATGGCACACTCAGACACAAGATCCGCATCACGCCTCAGTCACATGAGACACATCGTCCAAGATTGTCTTCTTCATCACCAGGCGGCTATGGCCGCTCAACTCAGCATGCAGGGAAGTCTGTATCTCTTCTCTCTCTTTGCTCTCACTCTCACCTCACAGTCCGCACTCGTCTCTCAGAAGGTCCTTCTCTCTCTCACACTACAACTATGGCTAAGGCACCCAATGACGGTGAGTATACAGCACTCACTGACTTGGTTGCCTCTCTAAAGCACAAGACCGCAGGATCGCTTCCGCATTGAGTGCACTTTCTCATTGAGTGCCCAACACACTGTGTTGACGTCCAGGTGCCGCTGAATTTTCATACTTGCTGGTTCGACTTCCAGGCAGCTTCTGCCGGTTATGGGTTGGCTCCCCTTTTCCTTGTTCGCTGCTTCTCGAAGCTTACGGATTCTCCTTTGACCTGGCTGCTTGGTCGGACTGACACCTGGTCTAATGACCTTTGTGATCTTGGCTGATGAAAGGCCTTCCAGGCCCCAAATTTGGGTCTCAGGGTCAGAGGCCCTTCCATGATTCACGCCCCAAATTCGGGTCTCAGGGTCAGAGGTCCTGGTCAAGAGAGGCCGAGTTCGTCAAATTCAGAAGAATCACAGTCGGGTACCTCAGCAGTCCAGTACAACAGGCACCCAGCAAACAGTCGCATCTTAAGCGCAAGAGTCACATCTTATAATGAAAAGTCATATTGAAGAGTCACATCCCACGAGTAACAAGGCAGTTCCACAGGCAAGAGTCTTGTCCCAGAGGCAGGAGTCACAGTCCACAGTCGAGAGTCATGTTCACAAAGGAAAAGTCATGACTCAAAGGCCCAAGCAGCAGCAGACCAATGGAAATTCGGGAAGGTTCCAGGCCTTTACATTCAGAAGCAGAYGGGCCGTGGGGATGTGGTACCGGAACCAGTYAGGACCAAAGAAACAGAGGCTGGCACGAGTTGAAGTGCAAAACAAGACTACAAAAGGACTGGCCAGCCTCCCATTTGGGGAGATTGCTCATTTGCAAGAAGTGTGGAACTGCTGGTGCACTCGTGCGCTGTAGTGAAGGGCAGAGCGCTGAAGCCTGAGTGCTGTGCTAAGGGAGAGAGAGAGAGAGGAAGTGTTAGCGCTGGCAGGGAGAAGGCAGATATAGCCGCGCCAGTGCAGAGTGATAGTAGTAGACTTCAGATAGTTAGTAGGCTTATCAGTGGGTGTATTCAGAGTAAATCCTTGAGTAGAAGTTAGCGAGTGTTAATGCAAGTAGGGAGAGAAGATACAGCGAGGACTTAGCTATAGAGGAGACCAGTAAGGAGATGAGATACACAAGAGAGACGAGCAAAGAGGAAGGGATACTTCTGAGAGTTTATCCTGGTTACTGGTTACCTTTGGTATGCGCTGTTGAGCGCTGGTAACTTGAAATCTTGTTGCTCTTGTAATTATTTGTTGGAATTCATAAGCTGCGTTACCTGGTCTTAATCTCTATGTGTCTCTGGTCTTCAGTGTGAACTTCGTGTGATATCATGTCCATGAGGTGTGAATATGTGCGCTCACTGGTGTTGACTTATCGAGGTTCATTGCACTGAGGTTCGTGGTACGTCGTAAAATAGACTCTTTAACTTGTAACTGCTATCTATAGGGGACTTCCTACCACGATTTACTGAATTAACTTGCTTAGGTATGTGTTATGAACTTGGTTGTCTATTGGCACCAACACTCGCACGCAGACAATCTCACACACGCCCATACATGCATAAGAAGAAGGGGGAGAGGAGACGGAGTACACCCTGCACACAGACATAATAAGCAGCGGAAAACACTATGCACAGGTGTGGAGATAAGACGATGTGTTTCTCACTCTCTGACGATACTCCCAACAACCAATCACAAAACACCTGCGAGGATAACAAAAGAACAATCTGAGATTGGAACAATCTGAACCAATATCGTTACAAAGTTTGTCCCAATGCCTCGCCACTCACAGAACCACACACTCCACTCCCTATCCAGTTAGTAGTGCCACACAATGTCAGCCTCCAGAGGTCTGTGTCAACCACCCAGGTGAAGAACAGAAACTGCGATGTAACCCTCAGTGCCGCTGAGCAACTCTGGTGAAGAAAGCTGCAGCTATGGCTGCAGCGCCATTGTAGAAGCCACGCACGGCCCCAGGGGAAGATGCCACCATAGTGGTCCACCCACGAACATCATGTAGAGTCTTAGAATAGCCCAGCTGCTCGCAAGCACCCCCAAGGGTGGATGCTCAGAGGACGCCCCAGCTATGGCGAGCTCCTGAAGGCTGGCTATGGCTGCCGTCCACAATGAAGGTCTCAGGATGCCGCCTGTAGGCAATCGTCTCTCCAGTACTTGCTTGGCTCAGAACGCTGTCATGCGAAAAATGAAACTGCCAAATGTCCTCACCCTACTGACCTCAATCTATTAATAGACTAGCCTAGACCTAGACACGGACTGGACCGACCAGTACCGTTTCAGTTTGGCCAAGGCCTCTACCTACCCGGCTATAGGCTCTCATGCTACAAGTCTAGGGCAGAGGGCCTCCCGTCCTAGTGATAGCCCGGGCCTGCTATTTGCAGTGCGGTCTAAGGGAACTGCGGACCTATAGTTGTCCACAAATTGCAGATATTTCCCTCGTGAATTTCGCTCAGCACTGAACTCTCGGTTAGTCCCTGACACAAACAAAATTATGAATCTAACCCTACCACTGTTATTGTACAGCCTCACAGTCAGATCTCGGCAGTCAAAATCAGCAAGTCGTTGCAGACTTACCCCCCCGGGGAGCGAGGACCTCCGAGCTAGGGGTGCAAACGAGGAGACCGGCGAGGAAGTGAACCCTTTTGAGCCGCCTCGTAATGTAGAACTACAGACTTTGCTGTCTTGAGAAGTTCTTTCCTGGTGAACCACCTATCCTCAGAATGAGGCTGGAAACAGAACTTCACAGGATACTGCCAGTCGGGGCTGGTGCCCCATTCGTCCTCAATGGACTCCACGTCATATCCCTTGCCAAGGATCGGTGGACCAAACTGAGGGGGTCGGTCTGGGAATGCATCAGCTGGAATAAAAGGAAGCAGCTTAGATGCATGGAAGACCAGATAGGTTTGTAGATGTAGTGGGACGTCGATAACGTACGACGGGCCAAAAGGATCGGAGCCCACTGTATCTAACACCTGCCACTGACCCAGGTATCGTGGCAACAGCTTGGGAGAGATATCCTCTTCCCTCGACAACTTTGAACTGGTTACCTAGACGTAATCACTAGTACTAATGGGGGAAGGACATTGGTGGCAATTAGTTTGTTCAATCATGGCCTTTTGGGCCTTGAACAAATTTGCCCGTGCCTTTTCCACATCGACTCTATAGCGTCTGGCAAACTCTGTGCCAGGAGTCGGATCAAACTTAGCCTTATTGATGATGTCATCAAGAGGTTGTCACGGCTCAGGTCCCCAATGTAAACGATATGGACTGAACCGAGTTGAAGTGGATAGAGGTATTATAGACAAGTTGTGCACGAGCCAGGTGGAGATCCCAGTCCTGTTGATCTGGAGAGATGACAGGATGCAACAATTGGAACAAGACTTGGTTCATCACTTCAGCTTGACCATTGGCTTCAGGATGATGACCATAAGTCATGTCTAGTCGTGAGTGCAAGTAGTCCTTACAGTAGGACTGCCACTCATTGTTGCAGAATCGTAGATCTCGATTACTGACTATAGAAGTGGGTGGTCCATGGTGAGTGACCCACCTCTCTGAAAATGCTGCTCTCACAGTGGGGACCCTAGCTACCTCTGGCAAGGGGATGAACTCTGCGTACTTCAAGAACCTGTCAACACAGACCATTACCTGACGCATGCCACGAGGGGTGGTCTTGCCTAGATCTGTAAGGTCTATAAACACAAATTCAGCAGGACCATCAGGTATAGGTAAGGGTTTGACAAGTCCTAGAGGAGGTCTACGTTGGACCTTGTTTTTCTGGCAGAGCTCACAGGTTTCAATATAGTGCAGCAGATCACTCCGCATCTCTTTCCAGAAGAAGCGCTGCGATAGGGCTGCATATGACTTGAGGAATCCAAAATGACCGCGTGCGTCATGACACTCTGACATCAGCTGAGTCCTTAATCGCTGGTCCTGGGGAATGCACTAGCGCTCTTGACCTCTGCTGTAAGTATACAGCAAGTCTGAGCTCAGGGCATAGCCTGGTTCAAAGTTGGGATCTGCTTGCAAATTCCTGACTATGGGTCCATAAGTCGGGTCCTGAGGCAGTAAGCGGGCAATGGTTTGACGGGTCGCCTCTCCAAAGGAGTGAGTAAAGGAGATCAGCGCAAAAGCGTCAGGCCTACGCCCTTGGTATGTTTTAGTTCGAAGTCAAACAGATCAATGAACTGAATGTAGCGTGTTGGGACTTCATCCACTGCAAGGTGGAGGGATCTGAAAAGATCTTGAAGTGTCTGCTTAGGAAAAAGTGCTTCCAATGCTTTAGCGTGCATACCA